CTGATTAGCGAGTGAAACCTTGAAAGCTTGCAAGATCAGGATGGTCTCACGAGGCTATAAAATCCACTCCTTTCTACTCTGAATGACCAAAAGTTCCCCAAAGTTAAACAGAACTTCCTGCCTCAGAAAGCAGCGTCTCTGCTCAGCAGTGCTGGAGTCACAGCCAATGTTTTCCTTCTTGATGAAGTCCTGTGGGGTTGATGATGGCGATTGTCCTCCAGTCAGGATGGGCGGAGCTGTTAGTGCCGGCGAGGACAACGACGACCTGATCGACAACCTGAAGGAGGCGTACTACATCCGCACCGACCTGGTGGAGCGAGCCTTCAGAGCCATCGACCGGGCCGACTACTACCTGGATGAATACCGGGACAACGCCTACAAGGTGAGCGTAGATCACCCGCTTTCCATCCAAAGACGCCCCGTTGTTTGACTCATGTTTTCGTTGCGGACAGGACCTCGCTTGGCGACACGGGAACATCCACCTGTCTGCTCCCTGCATCTATTCCGAGGTGATGGAGGCCTTGGAGCTCCATCCTGGCCTCTCCTTCCTCAACCTGGGGAGCGGGACCGGCTACCTGAGCACGATGGTCGGGCTCATTCTGGGTGCGTAAACTCTTCCAGTCTGCTTTATCTATTGCAAACATCTTTATTATTTTAATATGGTGTGCAGGAGGTCAAACAAACATTAATTACGTTTTTCAATGCTGTAAAAATTTGTATATTATATAAATTTAAACTATAAATGTAAACATTTCTTTCAACATAAATTAGCGTCACAGCCATAGAGACCAGTGGTCACAACAGGTTTCAGCGCGGCGCGGTGCCAGGCAGGTGGCTGCTGTAAACAAAGCGGTGGGTGTGTCTCAGGCCGTGGATCCCAAAGGGAAAACAGATAGCTGATGAGAACAGAGGAATGAAAGAGGAATGGAGCAAATCGTTTACTTTCATTGCCAATGAGGAAGGACTGCCTGCATGTTTGCTTTGCAATGACAGTTTGTCAAATAATAAGAAGAGTCATTAGGAAAGGCATTTCCAGGGACGGCTGCTAAATATGCAGCCCACCACCAAGCTGGGAGGGAGAGAAAAGGGGAGATTGCAGAACTTCTGGATAAATTAGAGGAGAATAAATATAGATTGAAGAAGTGGATTACATCTCCAAACTCCACTACTGCTGCAAGTTTGGTTGCAACTATGGGTGTAAATCACATCCATCATGGCGATTCGATTCAGTATCGATTTCCTGACCCAGCGATTCGATTATTTTCGATACTCAAGAATACACCACGATTCGATTTGATTAATCGGTTAATTTTAATTTATTTATTTTTTTACACCTTACAGGCTAAACAAAGTTTCAAGTTTGAAATAAATCAATGAAAGCTGTAATATCGTTAT